AAGGTGAGTTATGGTTCTGTAGATCCTTCTGACCCAAATAAACACTTAACCTGAGCTCAAACAAGGCCACTAACACTCTGGGGCATTTTGTATAAACAAGTGCAGCCTTGTTTTCACTATGAGAAGGAGCGAAAGGGCCTTCTCATCTTGAATTAGATACCACAAGACGGAACCCTAAGAAGTTCGCCAGTTTTCATACAAATTGGCAAATTCCAGACCAGACTTCCAAACCTTTTCACTCAAGCTATCAGCTCTCAAAAAGTGACAGCTACGCTGCCTCATTTTCACTGCTTCTTACCTCTAGTTAGCTAATTCAATTTTGCAAAATTAGAGGAAAGCCAATATATTCCCCTACAATTTAATATCAAAAGATATTCCTTATTCCTCATTTCATTGTCACACTTTATCTCAGAAGAAACCAATTATGAAATGAATAAAGCAGTCTCCGTCTACTCTGCTCGGGATCACTTGAACCTTTTTCTAGTAAAGTCACTCGTCATTATGTGACTTTACAGAAATTAAGACCATCTAACTTCATACTTCAGCACTTAAAAAACTGAGCACATTTGGGACAGGGGTAGCTAAATCAATAGCAGAAACATAGAAATGGTTTCTTCATCACCTGTTAATTTGAAACTACTACATTAATGCAGCAATGCAACTCAAAGAGAGAAGAGCTGTCAGTCACAGTTCCTAATGGGAAGCTCCTGACACTTCTTCACCTAACACAAACACTTAAATTAGTATTTAAAAATGAGCATGCAATGAGTATATTCTCAGAGCAGCTACTTTTTGCAGGAGCCAAACATGCCTAATTACAGAGTCTGCACACACACACTTTCACTTCTCCCCCCAACCTGCAGCTACTTGCATGAGCTGATGTTTAGGGCACTAAATACAGTCAATATTACACTCTGAACTCTGCGTGCAGGCATGTGCAAACACACACCCAGCGAGGATGGTCAGCACACCGACCAAAATCACACCACTCAATACAAACAACGTGAATTAGATTATGAATGAGTCACACTTGGGTACGATACATCTCAGGATCACAATATTGCAGTACTGACACAACACCGACCTGCAGCACACCCTGTCCTTGCCCTCCTCTCCAAAGCACACACCAGAGCACTTCACCACCCTGTCCCAGCTGGGAAGGGGAAGAGCTGGCGGGACACTTGTGTCTGTCTCTCCTCCGCCTGCCAGCAGTGTCCTCGCCAGCAAGGTGTCAGAATTCACACAGGCACCACCATCTTCAGCAGCTGTGGGACATGGGGACAGAAGAGACAGGCAAAGCAAGCAAAAGCTGGAGGGGTGACTGTCACCTGGGGCTCCCAACCAGCAGAGGAATTAGTGATGAAAAGGTGTCACACCTGCCACTGCCTCAGCCTTCCCAAAACACTTTACGGTGCTGTTCTATCAAAATAGCATCGGTGTAATGAAAGATTCACATCTTACTGCCCACCACTAATACAAAACACACCCAACTCCTGGGAGCAACTTCACAGACAGCTGCACAGCTCATTCAGCTGAACGAGACCACTGATGTTCACAAAGCTGTGTGTTTTACAGGACTTCCTGACTTCTGCACGATTACATCCTTGTAGGATGTGGGTCTTTACTGCCACTACAAAACTTGTAACAGCAAACACATTCTGACTCAAATGTGAAGTCCACGTTCTATTAAATTCCAGACCAAAATGAAGTTAGGTAAAATAACTCAGTTTGCTTTACGTTATTCAGATCTGTTCTTCCTAACTTAAAACAACATTATCAGCAATTTTGGCCATTTCCCCTAATCCATCCAGAGCCTCTTTATGCTTAGGGCTGTAGCACTTTTAAGGATCAAACTCTTTCATGATGGGAAAATGACTATGAAGTATTGCTGTTGGGTACTTAGCGCTTATACCCTGCCTTACAACTTCAAAGCATTACACAAACATCAATAATTACCATATATAGAGTAAAACTGAAAGAAGTAATCATATTTAAAAAGAAACTCACAAGAAAAAAAAAGTCTTAACTACCTGTTTGAAAGGGTAAAAAAAGCTTAAGCAACAAAATCTTCTGTAATTATTGTGTTCTTTATGCTACAAACACACATTCTGGCTGTGCACGTTCAAACAAAAACTATACACTCTTGCAAAGTCTTAAAAATAAATTATAAAGCCCAAAAGCCAAACCCCAACTCTTTTCATACATTTAAATTACATTTCCTTCTCCTTTCCTCGAGGAATGAGAGCTAAGTGCTCTCCAGGTGTTCCCAATAACAGTTTGGGAGGCAGGCCACCAAGCTCCCAAGACAGAGCACCAGAAAACACAGTTCTCATGGAGAAAAATCCAACTTCCCCCAAGAAAACTTAAGATAGCAACAGTGCAGTGGCTCAGGTGACCTTAGGTAAATAACACAAAATGTTATCATTCCATTAAACCATAAACAAAAACAAAGGGAAAAAAACACTAGAGAAAACCACAGAAAGTTTGTTTCGATCAATTACAGGGCACTACCTGTGCCCTAAGCACCATCAGCAGCCCCTTTTTTTCCAATGGATAAGGGCAAAACCCCCTTCACAGCTCATCCACAAGCACACACCCACTCACTTAAATTTAAGGACACACACGGGAGCCTGCAGTCCAGCCCTCATTTGGAACATATTCCGAAAAGCCCGTTAACACACATGTCCAAAGGAAGGCCCCAAACACAATGTGAGCCACACGTGGACAAGCTTTCGGGTCACTCAGAGCAGGAAGAAGGCTGGAAACTGCCCCAAAGCCCAGGTACAACCAAACCCCAAATACCAACTTTGCATATGGTGCCCTTGCTGCTAAAGGAGCACAGCACCCAAAGGGCAGAGACCATCAACAGTAAAGAACCTTTCTAAAGCACACAACGTGCTCAGACATTTATTTTAGCACAGAAGGACAGCAAAGCAAGTCAGACAAGCCTACAAAATTCTTTTTTTTATGCAACAAAGACCTGTTTCTCCTGATTATGCCTCCCATGCCTTAACAATAAGGAAGGAATATGTTTTGTGATCCCCTCCCCCATAAATCAGTTAGGAATTTGATTTACACAGACAGGAAAACGAGGAAGTCGAGCACACTGGAGAGTAGTAAAAACTTCACCAGCAAACTTCACTTTCCTACACAGCGACCTACAAACCAAACTTTCCTCCAGACTCACGTGTCATCTGCAGCAACCAGCCCCTGCCATAAAGCACAGACAAAGTTTTGCTGTTCTGGGGATAAAGACAAGCGAGGGAGAGACTTTTATTCTGTCAAGCTGCCTTAAAAGGAAATTCGGTGATGAAAGATTAAATTCACCTGGAACAACACGATAAAATTTTAACCCTTTCGAGGGTACAACAATAACAAGCCACATATTTCAGGACTTAAATCCTCCACCAAGAAAACAGTACACACTGCATCAACCGTGCGAGCCCCTCTAATTGATGCAACACGCAATTTACACCAGGGTTTCGGGCAGGGATAAGCCCTGGCAAGGAGAGACGCTGTGAAATTGGAAAATAAAAGCTTATTTTATGCCCCGAACCGGGCCCGCTCCCTGCCACCGCGGGGCATTGCATGTTCCAGCCCGAATTCCGCCGGAAAACTGATCAATAACTTGGCTCTAGGGAGGGGGGGACATCGGGAATGGCCCGGGGGTGGGGGTGTATCCCCTTCCCAGCAACGGGGAGTCGGGATGGGGGAGAACTCCGGGGAGTGGGGGAGGGGAAGGGCCTCCCCTCCCCCATCCCGAGCGAGCCCTGCCCCCCCTTCCCCTCCCCCCCCCAAGTAAATATGCGGGAAGGGGGGGAGGGGAAGCCGCTCTTCCCCACAAATCGGGCTAAAAATAGGCCTCTCGCCATGGCTCCCGTGTGCCATTCGCTGCCGAGGCCGGTGTCCCCCCCATCCCCCGCTCCATTAAACCTTTTCTTCTTTTTTTTTAATTTAAAAAAATGAAGGAGGGTGGGGGAGGGGAAGCCAGCGGCGCGGGGTGGGGGAGGGGTAAATATGTGTATATATATATATAAATGTGTGTCTGCATATCTATCTAGGTATGTATATATACACATATTAATAAAAACGGGGGGTCACAGAGGAGTTCTGGTCCCATCCCCCTCCCGCCTCCACCGACACAAACAGGGCGGCCGCCCCCCACCCCCATCCCCGGCCCCTGCCCGCCCCGGGGCTCGGAGCCCCCCGGTTCTTACCTTGCGAGCGGCTGCTCCCCCCTTTCCCAGGGAATGGAGGCACGAGGAATTCACCCTGGATTGTCTCTCCTCCTCCCGTGTGTTTTATACCGCCGCGTGTATATACGCGCACATCCCTGCCTGTGTGAGTGTGTGTGTGTGTACACGCGTATAGTTATCGATTATATATATATATATATATATACACACACACATATATATATATATGTATTTTTAAGGTGTCCACACCGAGAGGAGGAGGAGGAGAAAAAAAACACCAGGAAAAAAAAAACCAACAAAACCACCACACACACACAGGAGGAGGAAGGAAAAAAAATACCCAGCGCGTAGCGCTGTGATATTCAATTATATCCGAGCCAGGGGCCGGGGGAGGGGAGGGTGGGGAGGGGGGGGGGGGGGGGGGGGGTGACTGGAGATTAAGTCCCGAGGAAGGAGGGGAAAGAAAAAAAAAAAAAAAAAAGTAATATGTGTGTGTGTGATTGAGATTGAGGAGGGATCGGGGCGGAATGTGGGAGCTGTTACTGGGGGAAGGAGCCAAGCGGCGCGGAGCAGCCGGCGGCCCGCAGACACTCCGGGTGCCCGGCCGCGCCGAAATGGGCGCCGGCGGAGGGAAGGGAAGGGAAGGAAGGGAGGGAAGGAAGGAGGAAGGGAAGCAGCGAAGCCTCGGGAGGCGAGGCCAGGCGAGGAGGAGCGGCCCGGCCCGGCCCGGCCACACGAGCCCGGCGCGGGGGTCGGGGAGGGACCCCGGTCCCTGCCGCCTTCCCCGGCCGTGCGGGAGGGAGGCGGCCGCGGGCCCGGGGAGGGGAGCGGAGGGGAGGCCGCCCGGGCACGGCAGGCCCCAGGCCGCGGAGCTTTTTCTAGGAAAGACATTAAACTGCGCTGCCAACAGAGCTTATGTAAATGCAGCATGTAACATGGTGGTTTTGCCTCTCTCCTCGCAGCCCGTCGCGGTTGGCGATGGCACCGGGATCCAGCCCCGTGTGGGCACCGCGCTACCGCCTCTGCCCTCTCATTTAACAAAAATAATCCTCCGCAGCACTAATGCAATGGCCTACCTGGGTGCTGCTCATTTTTACAATTGAAATGCTGTTTGTCATCTATAGGGCCGCATTGTTTGTTTTTGAAAGCGAGCTTTGTTAATCAAAACCACATTCGTCACCAGGCAGCCCTTTCCATCTTAAAATGGTTTTGCAATACCATTTCACACTCTTGGGCGATGGTCCAGCACTCTCATGTCCAGACATTGGCACCCGTGCGGAGTCCCAATGACCACAAACCCTGCACGGATCCGATGGCAACATCTGATGTTATCCCAGCTCATTCCAAGGCTCTCCACACACCCCAGCCCAGCTCTGGTGCTGCTCAAATAGGGTGTCCACATCACCACACTCAATTTCAGAGCTTGATTTCACTGCAGCTGGCAGTGGATAAAGAGCTGGTCATGAATGTAGTGTCTTTTTTCTTTCTTCTTCTTCTTTTTTTTTTTTTTTTTTTTTTTTTTTTTTTTTTTTGTGAATAGAGCGTTGCCAGAGAATTATGCTAGTCGTTCTGGATTTTACCTTCAGTCTTAATACCTGGGATTTTACCTTCAGTCTAACACCTGGGATATACCATAGGCAGCTTTTGCCTACCTGAGCATCATCGCACAAGCAGATGAGGTCCATCTGCTCCACAAAGCCTTGGGTAGGTCTTTAGGTGTAGAATCCTCTCATAGGACTCATTTTCTTCAGGGTCAAACCCATGCATTTTTCTTTCCTTTATGAGGAAAAATATTTAAATACAGGCTAAAGTCATGTAGAGAAACCTAAATCTCTCTAGAAAGCCAGGAAGCACATTTGTAATTGCAAATCACTCGGTGTCCAGCATTTATTTGTGTAATGACTTTGGTGGCCCAAGTGAGCAACTTTCTCTTCTCACTAATGGTGTGGAGGCTGTCTGCTTTAGATATGTAAAGAGGCAATAGTTTTGAACACTATATCCAGTCTAGCTCCGAAATCTGCTGGAAGTCAAGAAATTTAAGAGGGGAAGGAAAAGTGGCAATGCACTCATTAACACATTCACACATTATAATCTTAGATCTGTCCATGCTTCTAATGGAGTTTGACCTCTTGATACTCTGATTTATTTCCCAGGTGAAAGAAGATAAGCAGTAACAGTGTGTGGAGGAAGGGAAATGGGAATATGCACATAGCCTAAGGCCAAGAGGAAAGGGAATTCTTCTGGGGGACTGGGGGACAGCAGGAGCCTAGAGAAGGATATCTGAGAAGTCCATGAAATGGGAATGAGAGGTGTGACATTCAGAAAGCTTGTGTGAGAAACGGGGGAGGGAAAATCCCTGAAGTGTGCTGTTGTTTGGCCCTCAGGAACTACAAACACTGTCTTCCCATCCATCTGCTGAGCAGCGACAACGTGCTGAGCTGAAGTAATCTGGCTGAAGGTTTCCGTGGTCTGGTGTTCTCCAAATGTTCAGCCGCGGCTCTGGGGTGCCAGGCTCTCTTTTTTAACATGATGATGTGCTCAACTGGGCAATTTCCCGAGAAGTTCTGCTCTGCAGAATCTACAAAGTGAATTCTGGTGGATTTGTGCTTTAATAGTCGTCCCCCATCTGTTTTGTTCTGGTTTCCGTTTTTTCACGAAGGCAAACACCCCGCAGGACTGCACAAACGCCTCTCACTGTCTGCGATGAGCTTTAGCCTTTGCAGTTCTCTTGCCCAAATGTGCAGCTGGATCCAGGGCTACAGGGGGACACTTCCAGAGCGTATGGGAAGGAGGCTCTTGCTTTCAGAGTTTTCCAAGAACGGATCTTGGGTAACACGGGGCAGTTGAGCAGGTTGTGGTTTACAGCAGATCGTTCAGTGAGTTGAGCTCAGGGAGTTGGCTTTGCCTTCTGGGAGAGCCACTTCTAAACAATAACTCTTGTTACACTTCCCTTCCCAAAGCAGCAAGAAAGATTGGACAAAACCCTAACTTTCAGATGTATAACCGGAGCAAATCCGAGGTCTCGGTTCACTTCTCGTTTGAATAAAAGCACGCTTCTGAAGTTCTTCAGTGACACAGCTGCTCACAGCCAGTGGATCCATCATCCCAGTGACTGGAAAGTCTTCTCATGCCCATATTTTTAAGACGCATCCTTAAAATAGTTGAAATGACTTGTAACAGGGAGTGCTCGGCCTACCAAGCACATATAAGCAAATATTTGCAATAACTGGCCCAGTGTTTGCACAGCACCAAGCACACTGCCTGGACTCCATAAATAATAATACTTGGCACTTGCAGAGTGGTTTCCATTTTCAAAGCACTTTAGTCATAACCCTTGACACCTATACGGCCTTTTACATCTTTACAAGAATTAATTAATCCTCACAATGCCCTGTGAGGTAGGTATGCACTGCAATAATAACAATAACAACAATTAATAATTCATGCATTCTACTCAAAAATCACTTCAGGGATTAAAATGCATCTGTAATACTTGGGGTTTATTAACATTTTCCAGCAAATAATAAAACCCATGCTATTGTGTTAAATCTATATAATATCTATCCATAAATCTTGTGCAGATTGGAGCGAGACTGAAGGCACAGCGAGGCACCAACACACCAGCAGGAAGCAGATGGCTGGCTCCAGAAAAGTTCAAGCCCAGTCCACACACAATCCAGGTGCCAGAGTGGAGCCCACCACGCACGGCAGCACGTAAATAAATACCAGCGAACCAGGAAGGCTCTTTGTCCATTTTTAGCTCTTGTTTCTGCAGGGGCTCCCCCAGGCTGGGGTGCTGACCCCATCCTGCACAAACACAGCACCAGGAGGGTGCAGGCTCCTGGTGAGGAAGGGCAAGACTCAGCACCTCGCTGAGCAGGGAGCAGGGAGGAGCCTGGACAGCACCAGGCAAACACTTTCCCTCCGCACTTTCCCTCATAAAAATTACCATAGTGCCTTTGATATGCAGGCAAGCCCCAGTTAAACCTGATATTTAAACCAGCAGGACTTAAACCTTGTTGATTTAAACAGGAGAGCCACCAGGCTCCCACGGGGCAGCTCTGGGTTTGGCAGGGCAGAGGGGGGACAGGGCTCCCCACAGGGATGGATCCCCCACAAAGATGCTGTTGTCGCTTTGCATCCCAAAGTGGATTAATGAGAACCACAAGGGCACTTTAATCCTAATGAGTAGGTACACCCACACCCTAGCAATTCCACCAAGACTTCCTCTGAATCGGAAGCACTGAGCAGTTCGGCCCAGAGACCTTCATATTCTTAAGACCTTTTCTTTCTCCTTTAATTTGAGAGAGATGTCAACATTAGGGGAAAAAAAAAAAAAAACAACCCTCTAAATTATTTGTATTGTGCATACTGAGAAAAGAAACAGAGGTTCACTGGTTTGAAGACAGTGGTTTTATTCCTTTTGAGGCTGCTGACAATGACTCTTTGCAGAAGATGACATGTTCCTGAGCAGGGAACATCTTCTGCCCCACCTTAGCATAAATTCATTGGTGATTCATCATTTATTGATCATATATTGTTAAAAATGTCCAACACTGGTGATCAACATAGCAGTACCACTAGTTTAGTTATTTGCCTTAAAGCATACACACACAGATAACCCTGTAGGGCTCCATGAGCCAGGGAGGAGTCAATCCAAAAACAATCATCTTGTTGATACACTTTCCAGATCGATTTGGGAGGCTTCTGCTTCCCAGAATAAACAGCAAGAGCAGAGGAAGAGCATGACCAGGTGAACAGTCCCTCATTCACAGGCCCTTGATGAGCTGTGATCCAAAGCCATGAAGTGGTTCTTTCAGAAGTTTCAGGACAGAAGTTATGGTGCTCATGTTCAGCTCTCACTCGGTGTTCATGCATGTGAACTGTTCAGCACCTCCCTGGTGCACAGAGCTTCTGCTGGGCACAGCTGCTGGCCCCAGGGACAATTTCACATTGCTGCTTTCAAAATCTACCACAGGATCCTAAAAAATAGTACAGATGAGCAAGGTCAGGACTGCTGCAGGATGGGGATGCCTACCAAGCAGCCTGGCCTCACTTTAATTGCTGCCAACCTCCCACCCAGAGGCCCGTCATTCCCTGAAGGCTGTAAGAGAAGCACAGACGTGTGTGTGAACGTGTCACACCAAGGACAGCTTCCAGACCAGTGCCAGAGGAACAGATTTTTAAAGGAAAATAAGAGATGCCCACTGCCAGAGCTCCTTCAAGCACCCTGCGCCAGACTCTTGCTCCTTGACTTCTACTGGGCCACATGGTCCCTTTTTTTTGGAGAGGAAAACCTTCAGCCCAGGGTCTTCCTGCCCATGGAGGGGCTGTTATTTGTGGCAGAGAATGTCCCTGCCCACCTGAGCTCCCACTGTGGTTCCTGTACAAGAGGGAGGACAGAATAAAAGCTGAATGTCATCCCTCACTGTGCACAATCCAGCCCCAGGAGGACTGGTGGAGGTTTCACACAAGAAGAGGAGAAAAATGAGTGAACAGCCTGGACAGATGCTGGTACAGACCTCACTCTGGAAGTGACACACACTGACCTCAGCGGGTTTAGTTATTGCAGGTGCAGCACTGTAGCTTCAGTCTGAACTGGGGTTGTTACAGGCATGGGAACAAATTGGTGTTTTGGCTTTAATAATTTGCTAAGGATTGGGTGTTTTGTTTTGGTGGAATTTTTTTTTTTTTTTGGTTTTGGGTTTTGGGTTTTTTGCATATGTAAATATGCACATTTTTTAAGATGGAAAGAAAATGGTGCTTCTCAGACAGAAACACAGGAGAGGCCCTGTTAACTCTGAGGTTATGGCAAAAGTCACTTCACAGCGAGCATGTAACTCAGATGTTACATCCTACAGTGGCTGAGCAAATCCAAACTTGTTTTATTTTAACACGGTTACGAAAAAGGGTGTGTCCCAGCTGCTCTGGCATACTTCTGAAGTTTCAAGCAAGATGTATCTGGTCCTCCTAGGAGATCAAACAGATTATCTCACAGGCTCAGGATGTGGTTGCAAAAAATTCAGTCTTGTAAGCGTCATAGTGATTCATAATGTAATCTACATTACTTGGTGTAATTACTGCAGAGTAAATAAAGGCACAAGTACAAAAGGTATAATATTTGTTATTTACCTTGATCTCTGTCACATACTTCTTTAATATTTCCTCTCAGTCCAAGAATCCAGCCAACCTGAAGAAAATTTCTCTTTCTTGCCCATACTTAAACCCTGCTTTTCTTTCATTATAGCAACATTGTTCTGTTTTTTATGTGAGGGGAGGACAGAGCCAGGATGATTCTTTCCCCAATCAGAGACCTGAAGACTCTTCATGTGGCCTTCAACAAACTGTTTATTATCAGGGCATGAGCTTCCATCTATAAAAAGAGAGGACTAACAAAGCTACTAATGGTGATTATATTATTGTTAACACATAATTATCTACCTCACAAGAAATTTGGGAGAGTAAATTAGTGTTTATGAAGTATTTTTAAGATGATAATATTATTTATTTGAGGGCTATACATTATGCCTTGAGGACAGCAGTTGTTGAAAACCACCTTCTAATTAGGTTTTGCTAATGATAGTGTCAAAAAAGTGTAGAAAAAATATTAATAGGTACACTTGAAGGCCCCTGTTTTTATTTCTTGAATTATTTGCATCAGCTGCTTTCTTGTAGACAGATATGCTATATCCACTTATACCAGATGTTAAACATTGTTTTCTAGCATATTAAGCATAAAATGAATGATGAAGGTGGCAGTGCCAAAGCACACCCCGCAGTATGTTGTTATTAGACAACTTGCTCCAGAGATTAAAGCCCTTGAAGTCAATAGAGGTTTTGTAGTTGTTGGGTTGTTTTTGTTTCCCCGCCCCGCTGGGCAAGGATTCCATCCTGGATCTCCAGCCTTGTCTTTCACTGCACATCACTGATGTGCTTAACACTCAATTAAAGCACACCCAGGATTTATTCCACTCAATCCCTTAGCAGAGGGTGACTGCAGGTACTCACAGGGAACTGACAGCAGCATTAAGTCCAGCCAAAAGGATGACTTCACCGTATTTCCCCTTTTTTCAGTCAATTATCTACATTTTATTGAACACCCACTTCTTTCAGTTTTATTCTTGAGGACTTCTGATAAGGTATCAAACTTCCCCAAGCCGGCTGTAATCTTCACCCCCTCCCTGTGACAGTAACTGTGAGCGGCTGCAGTAGATTAAGCAGCACATTCCCACAAAACATTTCCAATACGAGACCAAATTTTATGAGCTGTGCGAGCATCCTGTGTAACGTTCCTAGCAGGTACATAAAACACTTCAGGGTATGTGCAAAAAGAAAGATCACACTGGGTAGAGCAATGCATTTAGGAATAGCTGTCAATATTTCACAGTGCTTGATGTGTGCCATACCGTGAGACCAAACCACTCAAACAAAAAAAAAAAAAAAAAAAAAAAAAAAAAAAAAAAAGAAACACAAACACACAAATAAACCCCCCCCCCCCCCAACAAAAAACCTAACCAAAAAAAACCCAAACAAACAACCCCAAATCTCACAGTGGAAGAATGAACTGAGAATTATTTCCTCAGTTGAGCCAATATTTCCTACAACACGGCTTTCTGTGAGTCAGCCTTTTTGTGCCACGGAACTTAAAATACCAAAAGTGAGATAACAGTCGGCTTGTTGGAAATAGAAATTTTCAAGGGATAGAAGCAAAAACACAGGAAAAAACCCCAACTTCTGGACCTAGAGAGTGGTGATGAGCATTGCAAGATTACTGCAATATATCAAATAATCCTAAAAAATCCCATGCAATTTATCTGAGATTGTAAAACACGGAGAATCCCAGGTATGTGGGAAGCACACCACAGGGATTTCAGACACTCCCCAATCCTCCTGCAGCACTTAGGGCAGAGAGCACAGCTCCCTGAGTTGTCTGTTTCTTGCTCTTTGATAAGCAGAAGTGGTTTCATCCCAACCCCAGCACCTCTAATTTTGCTGCTGAGAAGCCCTGGGCCAGCAGAGAGGAACCTAAGGCAAATTCCACACTGATTCCACATAGTTCAGGACATGACTCAATAAATATGCATAGAAGAGGAAGGAGAATATTTCTAGAGGCAGAGTAAAGCAGGGGATGGGCTAGCAATTATGCAGACTTGTTGGCCACATACACATCTGTGGCTCTTCAAGGGCTGTACCTGCTAGAAATGAGTTTAAAACCCAAATGAAATGCATCTCCCTCCAAACCCCTCATCTTTCCCTGTTTGCTTACATGATGTGCAGTGCACCCACGTAGAGAGTTCCTACTGGGAGCAAAGATCATGCACCCACTGGTAATTCTGCACTGTCAATTAGAAGTGATTAAGGCAGAAGGGGTGGAGCTCCACTGAGGCCTGTATGAAAATTAAGATTGTTAAAATATACCCAAAAATTAAAAGAAAGCACCACCACACACTCCAGGTCTTGGCATAGTTGGGGTTGTCTCCTTCTTTACTGGCTTAATGAAGTCTCCTCTACAAGTGCCCTGTCCATCTCAAAAACATTTCATCTGCTTGCTCATGGTCCACATGGATAAACTCCCTCCATTCCTCTGTATTTAGGTTCAATACGTAACATTTGCTAACTTAATTGGCCATGGGGTGTTTTGCAAAGAAGTGGCCCCACACAGATCCATGGCATTTGTCTTTTATTTTTAATTTCTTCCTATCAAACACGAGTCCTGTTCTACAAGGCACTGCAGCAGATGTGTAATGTAAGCAAAGCAAGCTGAGGCACGGATACTGCCTGGATTTACACAGCAGGTTATTTTTAAAGCTGAGAGCAAAACTTCCACCTCCTGAGCCTTGCTGGGGGAAGGCTCACTCCATCCAGGCTGTGTCTCAGCACTGAGACCCAGAGTTTCCATGCAAGCACCTTCTTCTCCTTCATCACTCAGGAATTTTTATTTTAAAAAGTCTCCTAGGACATAAAAAAGTTTTCATTTCCCACATCCTGTCATTAAGCAGCTGTACTGCAAACAATGAATGATGACAAACCAAAGCAACAGTTTTAACTGAAGCAGGATTACACTTGGCATCGCTATTTGTTATGTGGCTTACTGGACAGCAAGACAAATGTGTGCTTCTGCTGCCCTTTCCTGCTGCCAGCTCCATCCCCTATTAATACCTAATGGCACGATTGGAGAAAACACCACAGCAGAAATAGCTGCAGGATGAAACCCCAAAAATCAAATGATGTCTGGGCCAGCAAGGGCTGGGAGTCTGCAGTCTTGGATAGGACCCTTGGCTCCTCTAACTCTCACCTCTGGCACTGACTCTGTGCCTATCTGATGCTTCAGGAGGAAGAAGAAGATTTGGACAAGCCTTCTGGTCCGTGGTGCCCTCATACTCACACACACAGGGAGACAGCTGTCCTGACCTGGTGGAGCAGCTCACCAGAGAATTTTAACCAAAATCCTGCTCCCTTGCATTGCATTATTCTTCACTGAGTAAGGTGAAAACATAACCAACCCACGCCTGATTAATTATCAGACAGTACTTGCAGAGGTTTAAGTAATATCACACTTTGCTCGTGCATCCTCCAAAGCCTGGCTGGTAATGATGATATATGGCTGGTGGCAGAAATGCCATTTAGGAACTGGAGGTACAGAAATATTCGCCGAGGAGGCTGCCAGCGTTACACAAATGGATGTGGATGCATAATCACATAATGCTGCACCAACGAGGCACTTGAGAAACAAGAGGCTCAAATCGCTGCACCCAGCAGGGCTCAGAGCTCCCTCCCAAGCAGGAGGGATGGCAGCCCTTCTGAGCCCTTCTGAGGGATCCATCCAGCCTACACAGGCAGGACCCTGCTCATGCCACCCCCTCCCTGAGCACAGTCTCAGGCTGTGGCACCCAGGATCCCCCTCGGGGTCACAGCCAGGGGTGGGACAGACCCTGCACATACAAACCAACACTGAGCAATGTCTGCCTGGAATCGTTCCTGG